AAAAAAAAAAAAAAAAAAAAAGACACTATGTAGTGAATCAAAAGGAAGGCTGTCTAGACTTGATCCGCGACTTTAGTTTCTAGGGATTGAAAAAAATAACCAAAGGTAACGTTTTTGGGAGAGGTGAAAAAATAAGGTTAGCTAAGGAGAAGATGCAGACGAGCATTATTGAAGAAAGTGGACTGGACTCTGGAAGTGAAGGATTGCAGATGGGCGGCACTCACATATTGGGTTTAGGAGTGGAAGAGTTGTAGTTGGGCTACACTCAAGGACTTTGAGTATTAAACAGGGAGATGCTTACGTATCCTACAGGAAATTGATACAAATCTATCATCCATCAATAAGTAACTAGTATGTAACCCGTGCGATGCACGTGCTAGTACATGTTTTGGAAAAATTTAAAAAATTAGAAGGTCATTAATTAATAAGTTATCATAATACGTATGGCATTTATAAAGTACACATAAATTCGTCATTGGTAAAAAGTTATACATTATTAAAAATCTCCTTATATACAACGTTATTAGTTTGATTACTGGGTAACTCATCGTCCCCACAAACTAATATTTTCAACCTCTTCCTATTAGTAACACGTGAAACAACGACGTATAACTGGCCATGACTAAAAATATGTTTTTTCAAGAACAATCCTACATGTGATAAAGACTGACCCTGACTCTTGTTATGATCATAGCATAGGAAACCATAAGCGGAAATGCCTCCGCTCGAACTTAAACGGAACCCTAACATAAGAAGGAGTTATGTTCATCCAAGGAATCAACACCTTCTCACCTGCGTGATCTCCAGTCAATATCCTACATTCAAGAACATGCGGAGAGAGCTTCGTAACAACCAAACGTGTGCCATTACACAGACCTATAGAATGGTCCATGTTTCGCAACAAAATGACTCCTATCTTCAAATGCAACTCATGGTTCGGCGTTCCCGAACACCTCACCTTCGTTTAGTACACCTCGAAATGCTCCCATATTTGTAGCACGTATTATGCCTTTAATAAATGCACCCTACAAAATAAATTTAATAAATATTAATTAAAATATTTTTTCAAATTATATAAATTTGATATTACAAATGAAAATATTTACTTGTCCATCATGAAACAGTATATGGAATGCGTTCCAGCTCTCCCGTCCGTGTTACGTTTCAATTATTCAGACTGTTCTCAAAAGCAAATAAGATTTGTTTGTCCTACTCGCGAAATCGAGTGTATCTCAGACTGGCGGCATTATATTAACAATGTGTTCTGAAATTTATCTCTGTATTTTTTTTTCTCTGAACGCTGTGAAAGACGTGAAGAAATAATGGTGGTAGTGAATATCCTTTTATACAACTTTTTTTTAGCAAAAAAGTGATTGATGAAAATTATTTAAATAAAAAGATATTGGTAAGATTTTAACCAAAAGTGATTGATGATAATTATAGATCAGTTTTAACTAATGTTTTTTTTATGGCAGACACCTTATTAAAGGCATGATATGCGGTCTTCAAATAGGAGATTTATATGGAGCCACAAAAACAGGGGATTTATTTGGATTTTGATTCCATATTTTTTTATTTATTCCTAAAAAAATCAAAAAAAATAAATATGCTAATAAAGAGTCCGAATTGTGAACAAAAAAAGGGAAAAGTTTGAGTCCGAATTGTGAAAAAATTAATGCAATAGCGTGAAAAGATTAATGCAATGGCGAGATTCCATAAATATAATGATTTATTTCATAGTATCTATTGCAATTAATGCTCGCTATTTATTAGGCCGAATTGTTAAAACAATACTAAGAGTGATTTTAGGCAATTTTGTTAATTTACTATTTTTTGGCAATAATTAATGAAATTGGCGGGAAAGAGTTTCTAAAAGTGAATTATGTTAATCCTTATTATATATTAATAGATTGTGTCTACACTTAATTGTCAAGATTTAACTACATTTACGCCTAAAATTCAGTTACCTAAAAAATGGACTCCATCCACTTTCCGTTCTCATGATTTTCGCCGTTTCCATAAAGGTAAAATTTTTGCTTTCATTGATATGGAAAG